GAGAGAGAGAGAGAGACAGAGAGAGAGGAGAGAAAGAGAGAGAAGCGAGCCGTATCACGCGAGGTAACACGAAGTACGTGCACTGTACGCATGCAGATACGCGCAATACACAATTATTATATTGACGGTCTATAAAACGCATGTGAAATCGACGACGTAACCAGAGTGCGCATATCCTGCCCATGCTACGCCACCTATATGTGGTGCGTGGCCTCACATCCGCACTCCAGCGTCTCGTGTGTGTTGTGTTTGTGTGTGTGTGGTGTGTTGTGTGTGTGTGTGTGTGTGTGTGTAGTGTGTGTGTATGTGTATGTGTAGTGTGTGTGTGACATATATGTGTGTGTGTGTGTGTGTGGTAAGTGGTGTGTGTAGTGTGACGTGAGCGTGGCGTGCGTGCGCTGCGCGGCGTGTGGAGTGTGTGTGTGTGGCGTGGCGTGGCGGTACGAGACGTATATTAGTTGTGTCTGTGTGCGTGCGTGAGCGTTGCGTGCGTGCGTGCGTGCGTGCGTGCGTGCGTGGGCGTGCGTGTGTGGTGTGTAGTGCCTGCGTGCTTGCGTGTGTGTATTTGTGGCGTGTGTGTGTGCGTGTGTGCGTGTGTGTGTGTGTGTGTGTGTGCGTGCGCGCGCGCGTGAAGCTAACGTTTTAACGCACGCCTGACAACGTCTGCACTCGACATATATATGCGACACAATGCCGACGCCGCTTACGTGCGTCTATAGAGAAATCCGGAATAGAGTGGCTGGCTCTCAGTGACTGGGTCGAACGCACCCGTGCTAGTTCCTGCATTTTTAACGCGAGTGTTTTTTTTATTGGCTCTCCCCCTCCCCCTCCCCCGATCAGGAGGCTGTCCCGCTCTAGACACCCGGCCTCGATGGGTGTCGGTGTGACGCCCGGGGGAGCGTGAAATAGCATGGTCATTAACTATACTTCCCCCTTCCCCTGCCCTCTCCCAGCCCGCGGCGGTATGGTATGCTAACTACCGACTAGCACATCCTGGGTTGAGAGAGAGGGGGCGCTGTGAAACGTATAAGCGCGAGAACGAGAATGCAAAAAAAATGTTTTTAACTTCCATATAATATCAGGAATAGATATAGATATATTATGACACTGCTGATAATATGTACCGTCAGTATATGCATGGCTAAAGTACGTAATATGTGTATATATATATATATATATAGTGCAGACACAGTATAGTATAAAAGTTAGATATAAAATAATTATATAAATATAAATAATAGTAATCAATTGCTACAGTGTATGTCGCTGCACAGTAGGGCCGGAATTCCAGCTCCATACACATACTTCCTGTGATATTATCTCCGTTTCGTATTTGCTGAAATCTGTTGGAATCTGCCACCAACTGCGTCCGGTTGATGTACATTAAAATGCTAATGTTATGCAAGGTGACGATGCTATCGTCTCTTCAGTTCAATTATCACCCGCCTACGCCCAGATCTCAAATAGACAGGCTGCAAAGTTGCTTCCATAGTTAGAGTGAAAACAACAACCATAAAACTGCAATACCTACTACTCTCATGTGTATTGTTATACGAATAAATGTATGTTACTACATAGATTATACAAACTACTCTCACGCGAAATGTTATACGAATAAATGTATGTTATCACATAGATTATACCAACTATTCTCACGCTAAATGTTATACGAATAAATGTATGTTATCACATAGATTATACGCAGTCGTCGCGTATTTTTTACTTCTCATTTCGTCTAGAATATTTTCTATGGTATTGTTACGTGGTGGCGCATAAACCGAGTTGTTTGCTTTCAGCAATTCCATCGCCACCGCTGCTAGTTCTACTGCCGCCTCCAGAAATCGTCTACACGCTGGGACAGAACGTCACGTTAAAGTGTGAGGCGGAGGGACGTCCCAAACCCACGTAAGTTCTCTCGTAATTTTTCTCTCTCTCTCTCTCTGGGTCTCTCTCTCTCTCTCTCTCTCTCTCTCTCTCTCTCTC